AAATTCTAAATTTCCACAAATATGGCAACTTATCTTCTTCTTTCGCTTAAACTCTTCTAATAATTTCCCATTGCCCTTAGAATAAAATTCAAATTCTCTACCCTGACCTACAGGGCCACTGTCTATGATTCTAAAATTCATCTTGCCCTCTGCAGATTGTGCACCAGACACCTGGGACTTTCTTCTGTCTAGATGCTTCCAGCTCATTCCAGGCTCTTTCACATTAACTCTATACACGCTGTTCCCTCTGCCTGGATTCCCCAGTCACTTGCCGAGGCTCCTGCGATTCCTGCAGCTCTCACCTTGACTGCCCCTTCTTCAGGCTTCCTCATACCACTCAGTCCAGAGTGCCCACTCCAGCCACCACATCATTCTTTATTCTCCCAGAGCACTTCTCACTCTTCAAAATCACCTTGCCTTTGTCTCTAAGTGCCATGAGAGCAGGAAAACTTCTGGGTCTGCCTCACTACTATAGTTGCTCAGTCGCAGCTGTGGAATGCATGAGTTGTTAGGGCAAAAAAGATGTGGTTTTATAATTCTGATAGAGGCTGCCAAATTGCCCTGAGAAAGGCTAGCCCAATTGGCCTTCCCATTGCTGCTAACCATAGAGCACCTGTTTTCCTGAAAATTCTCATGCACTAGATATCTTTCAACTTTTAATTTTTTCTTATTTTTCCAAATATATTCAATTTATTTATTTTTAAATTTATGTATTAATTTTTACCAGTATTAGGGATTGAATCCAGGGGCTCACTACCACTGAGCTACCTCCTCAGTCTTTTTTTTTTCTTTCTTTCTTTTTTTTTTTTGATACAAGGTCTTGCTAAGTGCTGAGGGTCTTTCTAAATTGTTGAGCCTGGTCTGAACTTGCAATCTTCCTGCCTCAGCTTCCCCAGTTGCTGGATTATAGGTGTGATTACAGGCATGTACCATCACTCCTGGCTCTTTTCAACTTTTAGTCATTCTCTAAAATATTAAAATTGAGACACAAAACAAACAACAAAGTGTGTCATTGTTTTCTACATTTCAGTTTTTTACAGTTAAGTGTAATTAGGCATGATTTCATATTTATTAAACATGTGTGTGTGTGTGTGTATACACATACACACAGATCATCCCCAACTTACAATGGTTTGACTTAACAATTTTCTAAATTTTTGATGGTGCAAAAGTGAAATGGTATTTAATTCACATTCCATACACATTCATTGGAAACCAAACTTCAAATTTCGAATTTCTGTCTTTTGCAGGACCAACAACATATGATACTCCCTTGAAATGCTGGACAGAGGTAGTTAATCACAGCTCCCAACCAACCAAGTGGTCACAAGGGAAAACAATCAGTATACTCGACAGTATACTGTGTTGTTAAGTATAAAGATTGGTAGGTTAGGTATGGTAAATGCATTTCTGACTTCCAGTATTTTCAGCTTAACAATGGATTTATCAGGGCATATCACAAATTAATGGACCTATCAGGTCATATTAAGATCCACTGTAGGGGCTGGGGATGTGGCTCAAGCGGTAGCGCACTCACCTGGCATGTGCGGGGGCCGTGGGTTCCATCCTCAGCACCACAAAAAATAAAATAAAGATGTTGTGTCCACCGAAAACTAAAAAATGAATATTAAAAAATTCTCTCTTAAAAAAAAAAAAAAGATCCACTGTAGGACTGGGTATATAGCTCAGTTGGTACAGTGCTTGCCTCACATGTACAAGGCCCTAGGTTCAATCCCCAGCACCCCCATTTCCACAACCCCCTCCCCACCCCACACAAAAGATCCAGTGTAAATTGAGGAGCATCTCGGTAGTTTTTTCTAACTGTTCATATCCTTTGCCAATTTTTTTCTTCTTTTTCTAATGCTTTTTAAGAATTCTTTTTGTTGAAGAAAAAGTCTGTTATATGCATTTCAAGTGTTTTTCCTAGTTTTGCTCTTGTTATGGCTTTAAGCATTTTTTTTTTTTTTCCTTTTGAATTTTTTTTTTTTTAGGCAGTCAACTTTAGCAAATCTTTCCTGTACAATTTTTAAGCTTTTCCATTCTTAGAAAGATCTTCCCTATGCCAAGATATCCAGATCTCTCCCTACATACATATGTTTTAATCTAGGATTTTTATGATTTTTTTTTTTTTACTTTGAAATCTTTAACCCATCCAGCATTCATTTTGATATGGGGAGCAAGATGGAGAATCCAGTCTTTTTTTACTCTCCCTTCCCCAAAGTGGGAAACCAATTTCTCTAAGATGATTTGCTAAAAACACTATCTTTTCCTTATAGATTTGAAATGCTCCCCTCATGTTATTAATTTTTGGATTAATTCAGTTTATTTAAAAAATTTAAAAACATATTAACTTTATCCTTCATAGTATCTACAAAAGCATGGATTAGATGTAGTAAGATGCAGCAGTTGTATTTTTCAACATATGGAACTGAACAAATTAACAATTAAATAAACAGCGTCTGTGTGGCACCAAAAGTGATTTTGTGTGCTAATAGCAGTTTGAGGAAATTGGTCAGAGCACTGCTATCAGTTCTCCAGATGAAAACCTCCACTTGGAAGCAGGCCATGGAGCCTGGCTGGTAATCTGATCTGTTGCCTGAGTAGAATGCTGGTTGCCCAGTGGGGCTGACTTTGTGAAAATCACCCAGAGGTTCAGTGATATGATATATGTATTTTTTCCAAATAATTATCATCTAATGAAATGTTTTCCAAGCTTTAAAAAGTTTTAAAAGTACCGCTGTACTGTTTTGTGCTAATTACTGGTAATACAACCTGTTGCATATGCTCTTAAATACAAAGACAGACTTGGGGGTCTGGTAGCTCAGTGCAAGCTTGCAGGCTTAGCAGGGAGAGACTCCAGCTGGGTTCCACCCCCAGCACTGATTATACAATCAGACTAACAAAAGGAATGATGCTACACAAACTTCAACACCATTAGAAATTTTCTTCTTTAGAGTTCTGATGTTTCTGCAAGCAGATTCATCCTCACAAAGGTCCCGGTAGGTCTGAAAAGGGCCATAGATGATATCATAGGCCAGTCACAATGTTCGTGGGATGAAAAGATGTCAGTGAATTTATCTGCAAGACGGAATTAGACAATAATGCCAAAGGCCAGAGCCTCAATATTCTTATCTGTTAGTCTTTATTAAAGGTTTACAGAGATAAATGGAAAATTCTATCCTAACCTCCTGGAGATCAAATTAAGGAGCATGATTGCAGGTAATCAAATATCTTACACTGACCTGTCACAAATAATTAGAAGCAAGCAAACATGTCCCATGACGTTTTACCCTAAGGTGATTGTGGCTTTTAAACTTCCACATTCTCTGCTTTCAGAGTCCACTTCTTGCTGGGCATCCTCAGCACTGATAGTCATAAAGATCACATACTTTTAATACTAAAATCTCCCTGTAAAATAGAAGCTGCTGATTCTAATATGGAGATTCAATTAGTTTTTATTTTTTTGTCCTTTAAAACAGTATAAAATAACCCAGTTTCCTTCTGTTGGTAGCCATGGAGACTAATTGCAAATATTTCAGTGGCTGAATAATACTAAAAATGACAACAATCTTCAAGGGCATCTATTAATATGCTTCACATTAAAAAACAATAAAGCTAGCAACCTTAAATTCCATTGCCAGATTTTCAATAAGTCCCTCTGGTTTCACAATTATTTGGGAGCCCACTGATTAGGAGAAAGAGGTAGATGATGCTTGTCAAAGGAAAAGCTCGAGTCTTACTTTCTTGAGTTCCTCTCAAAGGCCTGTTCATTTCCAATTTTCTACAACATAGGTGTGCTTCCACTGGTGTCTCTGCCCTTCAACTTAGAAGTTTCTTACCTCTGATCTTCCCTGAACTGGAAGCCTCTGAGGATGTATGTCATTGTTAACCTTTAAAAGGCTCCTCTCTCCATCCAAGAGTCCCCCAGAGACCTTCCTGAGATGGTGCATTCACTTTTAATGTACACTTTTAGGGTGCCTCATTTGCATAATCTGCTTTCTGGAAAGCTTTTTGGAGCCTTATGCCAATTAAATTTCACCTCAAGTTTCTCAAAATCCAATTGTAGCAGGTTGCCAGCTTTTGTTGTTTCCCAAAACAAATGATATAAACCTTTCTGTCAAGGTAATTTGCTTGAAGAACTGTCAAGGCAGGGATTAGTATGAGGCTTCCAATTATACTTCCAGAGAGCTCTGTGCCAGGTGATGTAATTCTACCAACGGGAGTCTGAAACCAGCCTCCAGGACATGACCTGCAGAGCAGAGCATCTGCTAGTGCAAGCCTGCAAGGGCTATTTAAAGAGCTCCAGGCCTGGAGGACAGGGGCAGGGTGGCAGTGAGGCCCCGTTTTGGGCAAGTGTTTGTAATGGAGCTCAGGGTGTTGGAGGCAAGGACAGGAAAGGGTGAGGGCAGGGGACTGTTCAGAGGATGACAGAGGATGCTGGCGGCAGGCAGGCAGAAAAAAAAATAACAAGAGGAAGGATGACCCTCCACCTGGGCAAAGGATTCCTTTTCTCTTCAAGCACAAACTGACAAGCCCACATGGTGTCAGGCTAGAAGATCATAACTGCACTTATACATATTTTGGTGGGTGTTTATTTCTTCTCACCTTTCGCATTGCAATAGGATGCAGACAAAGAAATTTTTTTTTTTAATTTGTGAATTTTAGTTGTTATTTTAGATGGTCCAAATTTTCCTTCCACATTCCTCATTATAAAATGGAAATTCTGGATCTTGGAGAAGAGTCAAGGCTAGTGTGGCATACTTTTTAGAACCATATTTAAAGGCTGGGCAGGGTGGCATACTCCAGTAATCACAACAACTCAGGAGGCAGAGGCAGGAGGATTACAAGTTCAAAGCCAGCCTCAGTAACTTATAGAGGTCCCAAGCAACTTAGTGAGATCCTATCTCTAAATAAGACATAAAAAGGGCTGAGGATATGGCCCAGTGGTTAAGCACCCTTAGGTTCAATCCCTGATACCAAACACAGACAACCAAAAAACACCAAATTTAAATCCCTATATTATTTCAGGACTTATGATCTCAAGCACGTGGTCTCCATCTTACAACTTGGTTTAATTCTTATACTTGATTCAGTATAGAGCTTTGTCCCTTCACAAAACTTACCCCACTAAAGCCTGTTCTCTTAGGTTGGACTCTCCCAGGGGTAGACCCTGAGCCAGGGATTCTGATATAAGAGGTGTATTAAGGAAAGACTCTCAGAGACACCTGTAGGTAGATGGCAGGAAGAAGATGGGGAAAGGGTAAAGCAGAGCAAGGCTATGATGCCTTGCAGAGTCTCAGTCTTGGCCTGATCCTAGGAAGAGAGAACTCTGGAGCATAGATTGAGGCAAGGAAGCCAGGCTTCTGACTCCTAACCCTGCCAGTCAGCCTTGGCCAGGGTGAATGGGAGGTGGCATGGGAGGTAGGTTTCTTCACAGGGGCTGACTGACTTCAGGACAGATTGCAGGTGCCAGTGTGTAACTGCAAAGCATTTAGCTGCGGGCTGGGCACACACAGCTGTCAAGAGACCCCAAAGGACCCGGGGCGGGGGGGAGGTTGGGAGCGGGGGGCAGGGGGAGGTAACAACAGCACGGCCACAGTGCTGTACCTACGCTGCTGCCTGTTCTCACTGCCAGCACCAGTTATGGATCTTTTATCACATTCTGCTGCAACAGGAAATGAATAATATCTTTTGAAAGTCCTGGAGTTGGCTTTTCATTATCTAGAGAAGCACTCGCTTCCCCCAGTGGGTAGAAGTGTGCGTCCCTGGAATGCTTCTGTAAGACTGAGCAGCCATCCCGGTTGAAGATGACCCGGGCCATCTGGAAACAGCGGAGAGCATACTTTTGGCTCTCCTGGCCCCCCAGTTCAGTGATTTTCTGAGACAGGCAATGGCAGACAGATGCAGAGAGAAGATTCCCAGAGACTGGCTGCAGATGGCCAAACACTTCATAGAATCTATCCAGGGATTTCCGAAGTTCATCCTCCTCCTCTGTGATCTCTGATTGGCCTTTCATAGAAATGTCAAACCAGATGTTCTCAGAAGTCCAGGAGTCTTTTTGTTCAGTATTTGGATTACTGCTGTCTGCAAGACAAAATACATTCCAATAATCAAGCATACAATAAAAAATATTGGAAAGCAAGCCAAGAGCAGATGATGTCTCTTTTCAGTTCAACACACAACTGCTCCTAGGGAACTGGCAATGGCAGAATCAGCTGATTTCAGAATTTGTTCTCACCAGACTCAGCCCTTGCCACTTACTTGCTCATCATAAGAGCACCTTACTTGCATGTATCAGAGTCTTAACCTGGGGTTCCTGCATTGCAGTGCAAGGTGGTTGTGAATCTGGATGGGAAAAAAAGTCGTTTTTATTTTTATTAACCACTACCTAAAATTAAGCATCGCCTTCCATGATGAATGTAGGCAACAAACCACAATATTAACAGCAATCTTTATGGCTTTGTCACCAAGAGATCACATCTATTTTCATATCACACTGTAATGTGTAAAAGATGCTTTGAAATATTTATGCTTATCATTATGCTACAGACTGTTTGTGTTCCACAAAATTCATGTGTTGAAGCCCCAACCCCTCATGGGATTGTATTCGGAAAGGACTTTTAGGAGGTACTTAAGATTCAATGAAATCCTTAACGATGGGATTCTAATCCAATGGTATTGGTGGATTTATAAGAAGAGAAGAGGTGGAGGAAGAGAGAAGAAGAAAGAGACCAGGGAAAGACAATATGAGCACTCAGTGAGAAGGTGGCCATGTGCAAGCCAGGAGAAGAGCGTTTGCCAGAAACCAACCATGCTGGCATCCTGATCTTAAACTTCCAGCCTCTGGTACTATTAGTTATGGTATTTTTCTATGTCAATCTAAGAAGATTAAGACACACTACTTTGAAATTATCATTTTACATTCATGAATGGATGAATGGATAAAGAAAATGTGTACATAATGGAGTTTTATTTAACCATAAAGAAAAATGAAATTATGTCATTTTCAGGAAAATGGATGGAACTAGAAACCATTATGTTAAGCGAAATAAGTCAAACTCAGAAGATCAAGGGTCATATGTTTTCTCTCATATGTGGAAGCTAGAGAGGAAAAAGGAAAAGAAAGTATGTGGGGGAATGGCAGAGTGGATTTCATAGAAAGGGACCAGGGAGAGGAAGGAAGGAAGGGAAAAGGAAAATACTGGGAAATGATATTAGCCAAATTATATTCTTATATCGTGTGCATGTAAAAATATGTAGCAACAAATACCACCACTATGTACAACTGAAATACACCATTAAAAAAAAAAAAACAATGGAAGTATTAAAGCATTTTTAGAAATAAAAAAAGAAGAAAGAAATTACCACAGTTATTATAGCTGATACTAGATCTTATGGTTTATGCATTAATTAAAAAGCATACATTCATTACAATAGCATATATTTGTTTTAAAAATATTCCAGTGTTTTTTTTCTTAGTAATCCTATATTCAGTATTTTACTTTATGTATTTAAAAATTTTATTCTGTGAAAGGGTTGATAGGCTTCAGCAGACACTAAAGGGGCCCATGGCATAAACACTGTGAAGCCACCTGATTAAACAGTTCTTAGCATTTAGACAAATTCAGACATTTTCTTTCTTGATGTCCTATAATAATTCTACAAACTATTTATTTCTAAATTAAAATCACCACCTTCGTGTGTTTTCAAAGGCAGAGTAAAAAATAAACTGAGTCATTTAACCACAGACAATAAGAAATCAGAACTGAAGCCAAATCCTAGTCCTTTCTGAACCTCTCAGACCACTCGGATTCTTGATATAGGGATCTCTTAGGTCTTCTGAAACACAGGGCTTTCTTTCCTATCAATGAGTTCAAGAAAAGATTTGTACAAATAATTAATCTGAATTATTTAGTTTGTAGAATTCCTTATATATCTGTTTTATTCTATAACATTTTATACTATGAATCAATATGTTTTCCTTTTTGTACATGGATAAAAGCTTTCATAAATCATTAGCTTTGAAAGTTCCCTGCTTCTAACTTAATTAACAGCTATGATTACGATATTTGCATTAATTAATGATAAAGGAAAGTGCTTGCTGCAGTGGGTGGAGCTTTAGAAAAGGGAGGGTTTGGGATTTTGCCCTAGTTTTGCCAACAGTTAGATACGTCGCCTTAGCCAAGACATTCAACCTTTCTGGTCTTCAGTAGTCTCATCTTCAAAGCAAAGTTTTACTAAATCAATTCTCTCTTTTCTAGAATGTCTATGGTATTATAAGGATGAGAGAAGTAGATTATACAAAAAAAATGTGGATACATGTCCTGAGACACACACACATGAACAAGCATTTATCTATCCAATACACATTTATAGAAAGCAAATACTAAGGCAATTAATCATTGTGAGTTGCTGCAATATATAGCAAAGGTTGGCGATGTGGTTTGAATCCGGACTGACATACTTCTAGACATCAAACTGAAAATTAAACACAAGATATACAAAGATACATAACAATGTGATGACATTAACTGGAACAGTGTGAATTCAATGGAGAAATGCAGTATAAGGTAAGGATTAGCATGTAACAGAAGGCCACTTGCAAACTTATCCTGAAAGAACCAAAAATCAGAGATCACAGAAACAGAGGAGCAGGGCCAACAAAGACCAAGTTGCAAAAAGAAACAAAAACTACTTATAACTGGCTCGAGTTCATCTCCTTTACCAGCTGACCATGTTCCCGGCACCCTGAGACAGCCTGGCGGCAGGAGAGCAAGAATTCAGAGGGGCCAAACAAGGTAGTATGACCAACGACAGAAACCATGTTTTTAAAAGAATTCACTAGTAAGGGATGGTATGCCCACCACACTGGTTCCCAGAAAGCCTAAAACCATGTTGTATGCTCCTCAATCATGGAAGGAAGGGAGCGAAGAAGAGGAGAAGGAGAAAGAGGAAGAAGCAGCTAAAGAAACTTCCCTTGACTCTGCTAGGCCCAGAACTTCTACCCAGTTCTCCTGTCTGTTTCTCCCAACAACCCCATTGCTGAACTGATGTGTCCTGGGTGGATGGAAGGAGAGGGAGGCAGGTACTGGCTTCTTGCTGGACCTGATGTCAGAAAAACAGCAATAGCTTATATTTTCAGAAGTGCCAAGTTCATGAAAACCAAGGAAATACGAAGCAACTGCCCAAGAGTGCAAGAGTCTAAAAAGAGACATGAAAACTCAAAGCAACAGGTGATTCTGAACTGGATCCTTTTACTATAAAGTACTCTACTGGAACAACTGAAGCACTGTGAATGGGGCTGGTGGATTAGGTGGTAGGAAGGTATCACTGCTAATTTCCTGATGTTGATATTTCAATTTCATTATGTCCAAGAGTGTCCTTGTTTGTAGGATAACCAGGAGTGAGAGATATCAGGTTAGCAATTTACTTTCAAATAATTCACAAAAAAGTTATCTGTATTGTATTTGCAAATTTTCTATGAGTTTGAGGTTGTTTTTAACAAAATTTTTTAAATTTGGAGGGATAATTGTGAAAACTTCTTTGTTGTTCTACTTTAAAATTAAAACAAACAAGTGAATGGAAAAAGCCTAGGGACATGGCTAAAAAGCACTTGCCTAACAAATGGTATTGCTATTAATGAACCAAGAAGGAAGGAGGATGAGGGTCCACATGGCAGGAATAGGTGTCCCTTGCCACCTTCTTCCCCACAGATGATCTGGCTTTAGGTAGGAAGGTAAGAGGAAGGGGGCTGAGAAGGGTCTAAGAGCAAGGAGATCCTCAAGAACTCTGGGGAATTTGGAGAATTCTTGAAATCTGCCCACCCATGGTAGTCACATATACAGGACACTCCAAATAGCCCAGCATGTCCTGGTAAGTAATTGGTCAACATACTTTCATATACAAGATGTCAAATATTCACCAGAGTTTCATTTTTAGGTTTAATTTTATTTTAACTTCTGAAATCCAGTGTCTACAAAAAAAGCCTCAAAACTAGCCTGCCTCCTGAATTTTTCATAAAAATGTCAAGCAGAATGAGACCCATCTTCAAAGAAACAGCCTTCCCCTTTTAAAAGAACGACATATGGTTTGAGTCATTTACTGTGTCAGTTCTTTCCAATGTGCCTCCAGTCCATTTCGGTCTTTGATTTCCTTTAAAATGTGCTTTACTACAGCTACAAAGCCTTCTCTCTAGTCATGTTGCTGTTGTGGTCTTTCCAATGTCACTGTTTCTTTGCCAAAATTGGAGCTTATCACCTATCCCTTCCTGATTTCTTTATGTCAGGAAAAGGTGGATCTTCTATAACCTGGTCAGTTCCTGCTCAGTGGTCCATCCTCCCAGCTGTGTTCCAATCCCATCTTTTTCTACATGCTGGTATGCTGCAAAATTTTAGGGCTCTCAATGGTGACAGAAAACCACCACAGGGAGAGTCTGGGGAAGTTTGGGTGTTAGTGATTGCAAAGTGCTGCTTGCATTGAGTGAAGGGGCTCAAGGACATAAACATCCTGCAGGGCACAGGTCAGTCCCACACAACAGAGAAGTGTTCGTCCTCAGAATGCCAATAATGTCCCTACCTCTATTTACTCCTACCCTGAAGAGGAACATTGACTCAAAGGACAGATTTTTGGAAAGAGAGAAAGTGCATGCTGAATCCCACTGCACTGTAACAGACTGGCTGGCCTTGAGCTCCCAAGGCAGCTTTGCCATTGCTCATCCTCTGCTGCACAACACCCCTTGCTGGTCCCCATTCACATTATGTCTTCTTCCCTTCTTTGACCTTGAGATGGCTTTTTCTTCTTTCTTTCTTAGCAAGGACCCCATTCCCAATGATTGGCATTATCTAAATTAGATGAAACTTTCCTTTCTACTTCGACATGCTTTCCATCATGAGCAAGATTTCTTTAGAAAACTATAAGAAGAAAAGGAGGTCATCAAGACTTGATATCACAATGTCTTTGCATGCATTGTTTCAAGGTAACCCATTTACCAGAGTGTCCATTTGTTAAATTTTCTCTTGGAAGTGTGGGGAAGAACATATAGATGTTTGAGATTCTTTTAAAAGAAAAAATATTTTATAGTTTTA